TGGAAGTGGAGGATGAGGGGATGTTGGAGGTGGTATGGATAGGATTAGCAGTGGTAGGGGGAGGGGGAGGGATAAGCGTCTGGTTAGTGGGGGTATTGTTCAGGTTATTGGCCAGGGAGGGTGTGGGAGGAGGAGGAGGGAGTATCGGAGGTCTAGTAGCATGGAGAGGAGGTCTGGAGGAACGCGCACGGGAAGTGCTCCGTCCACGGGTCTGAGGGACTTTGGGCTGAGGATTGATATGACAGAGGGAGGAAGGGTGAACAATCGAGCCGCACCCGGCACAAGGAGAGGGCTTCCAGTCGTAGAGAACTTTCAGATTAAAATCATCCCCGTCCAGAGAGATGGGGATTTCGTCAGGTAGAGTCGATGTGTTGGAAACCATGACACACACTCTAGCAAAAGTGAGACGAGTTTTCCGGGCCGTGAGGGCATCCATAGCCAGAGGATGACCCACAAAGATGGCAATTTTGGAAATCCCAGCCGGATTCCACACAACCAGAGGTAAATCAACAATTTTTATCCATAAAGGGATGGAAGAAAACTCATCTCATTTTGGCTTGAACTTGGCCATCCACTGCTGCAGGATGAAAGGCCGCCCAAAGAAGAACCAGGGGCCCCCCGACCAAGCCACTTGATAATCTTCAGGAGAAGAGAACTTGAATCGAAAAAAACCGTCATTCAGGGAAAGAAGCTCAACACTTCCTTTAGGATTCCATGCACGTTTCACAACGTTGAGAAGGCTTAGGTACGTAGGACGTGGCCCAATAGAGTACCCAACCAGAGAGGAGCTCCAGTCAGGAATACCCACATCCAGTTCAGCAGCAGAGAAAGGAACTTTACCAACCAGAGGAACAAAGGAAAGGTTAAAGTTCCCAGCAACCGGATCATCTTTTGTGAGGTTAGAGGCAAAACTAGCCCCCCCGAGAAAGGGGAGCACACGCGAGGGAGCCGAAGCTGCTCCAGGTAAGGGGGGGAAACCCGCATGCAAATCCATGGAAACAGTAGGGAGGGGAGGGGGAGCCGGCCCCTCCCCGCACGGAGGCGGGAGGAAAGGAAGAAGGTGGCGGGAAAGAAAAGCCGGGGAGGAAAAACCCTAGCAGAGCACTCACTTGGTGTGTAACTCCCATTTGATGTATTTGATAACTCCGTTTGATTCGAGTCAACTCAACTCTATTGAATTAATTTAATACATTTAAATTTGATTTGATGAAATTAATATTAAATCAAATAAAATAAATCAATTAAAGTGAATTGATTAATTCAATGTAACCAATTAAAGTTGTAGTTGAATCGAGCCAAAATTGAGTCAAATTCGAATCAATCATATTGTTGGGCTAAGATTTAAGTTGAAATATCATTTTTTTTAATGAGATCGAGTCGACTCTATTTAAAAATTGAGTTGACAGGGGCAATGGTTCGATAATAGCAATTAGACGGTTTCCTGATAATGATGGTCCGACATTTAATGATGCTCGGGTGAAGCTCTAATATTATTAGAATCTTTGAGCCCTCTTGAAACGCAAGCTAAGCTTATCTCCCCTTGATTTAAAGGTTGGAGGCCTATTATAATATTTCGATATTGATATACCTTTTAAATATAATCAAACCCTTAGCTAATCTTGATCATAGATCTTTCCTTCAACTTTTAAGTGCCTTAATGATGTCAAAATTAAGTGATCTTAACTCATGTCATCTCATCAAGACACTAGATTTGACTATAAGCATGCAAAATTTAGAGATTAGTTGGTCGTATAATTAATATCCTGAAGTTTTGAACTATACTTCAAGTGCTTAATCCAAACTCATATGAACTTTGATCAGTTCACTTTTGATATCAATGGGTTCATCTCTTTGAAATGTTTAATTCAACTATAAGTTGGTAATAATTAGAATTTTGATGGCCCTGAATTTAATATGCAATGAGATTCATACTAGAAGGCAATTTTGATGATGTATCAAGAACTTTTATGGTGATGCTTTTTCCCAATGTAGACGGAATCAAAGAAAATTCTTACATGAGATTAAGGCTACTTAAAAAGCTTGCAGTTTGAAACTCCTTCACATTATTGTTTCGAAATTGGCTCAACTTGAAATCGACTCAACCAATTTTGAACACCACTGCATAGTCTAAATTGATTTGAGTTTGCTTCGATTGGCTTAAATATAATGTTTTTTTTTTTTTTTGACATTTAAGCTAATTAAGGCAGACTCACACACACATTACATACACAAGACTTAAACTCAAGACCTCTTAATTGGTAGTATAAACTCCCAACCAACATACCAAAATGGGTTGTGTGCTTAAATATAATATTATTCTTCCCAAAATCTCATAATAAATGAGTATTTATAAAAATATTAAATGTATATTAAAAAATATGTATAATTAATAGGGTTGCGGGCTAGAATATACGTGGAGAAAGAGTTAGAATACTACGTCTTAGCATTGCACGGATATCCAGCTCACACACAGAGAACACAAGTTTTTTTACGTGGAAAACTCTTGAAAAGGGAAAAACCACAGGGCCTAGTCCAGTTGAAAAGATTTCACTAAAACTTGAGTTGGTTACAATGGGCTGATTCGCCTCTGAGGGTGATCAGATTACAAGTAACAATTGTACAATAGAAGTACGGCTGTCAGGTAATGGTCTGGCGGAACTTCGAGCTTTAGATGATGGTCTGGCAGAACTCCGGGCCTTAAATGAAGGTCTGGCAGAACTCTGGGCCTTAGATGAGGGTCTGGCAGAACTCCGAGCCTTAGATGATGATCTGGCGAAGGCGAGAGCCTTAGGTGAAGGTCTGGCGAAGGTGAGGGTCTTCGACGATGGTCTGGCTAAGGTGAGGGCCTAAAGGTCTGGCGGAGCGTAGGGCGTTAGGTGGTGATCCGGCGAAGGCGAGGGCCTCAGGTGGTGGTCCGGCGAAGGAGAGGGCCTCATGTGGTGGTCCAGCGAGACTCCGGCGGTGGACTAGCGGTGGTCCGGCGATGGACTAGCGGTGGTCCGGCGAGACTCCGACGGTGGTCGAGGAGGCAAGGAAGCAAGAGTGATATCCGATTTCTCTCTTTTTTTCCTTTCTCTCTTTTTTCCTTAGGCTTAGGGGTCCTCTTTTAAGAGGAGAGGGTGCTCTATTTATAGATATTGGGAATTGCATGGCTCGTAAATAGGTGGAGGATCAAGGGTAAGTTGGGAGTGGTTGGATGGACGACCGATCTTGAATCCCTTGATCATTAACCTTTTGATGGACATTTGAATGTCGTAGTGATGTCAGAATTCAGTGATCTTGGGCTCGTTGGATTCGTCTCATCGAACCGCTCGATTCGACTATAAGTTTGTTATGTTTGGAGGCTGTTTGGTAATCCAAATTGTGGTTTGAACCTTACACAGCGCTTCGGGTCCTTGATTTGGACTCATTTGGGCTCGGATTGGGTCGAATTCGGTGTCGTTGGGTTTGTATTTCCGAGACGCTCAGTTCGACTGTAAGTTTGCTGAAATCAGAGTTCAGATGCTCCTGATTTTAATCTCGGAAGTTTCCCACTTGATTTTGCTTTGAGATTCGTGCCCGATCAAGATAATTTTCAGATGATGTATCAAATAGTATAGTATCTATATTTATTCAAAGAATTAATTAAAGTTCAATTTTGAGCCAAATTGAACCAGGTTACTTAAAATTGAGTTTATTTAACTTGATAACAATAATGGTATGACTCCACAAAAGTCATCTTTGATGCTCATTGTGGTACTTCATTAAAATAAATTATTTTCTTTTCTGCATTTTTGTCATGGATAATCTGAGAAATAAATACATGAAAATTATTAACAATCTGATCTCAAAAGTTGATTCAATATTGATTCAACATAAGCTGAAAGTTTGTCAAGCTATAATTTGTTTTAAGCTTGCTCAATCTAATCACCAACAGCAATAAATGTAATTTTTTTTTTAAATGGGAATGAGAGCTTCCTGCCCTTTACCTCTATTGCTATGAGCATGTAGATGTGCAATGGGAATTTTTAACATTTCTATGGAATATGGTGATTTTAGTAATATTGGAAGAAATCCATCTTTGGTCCAAAATCTTTGAGAAAGATTTATTAATTCAGATGTTAAGCAAACTATTTCAACAAAATAACCTTAAGCAAAAAAAAAAAAAAAGAGACAAAAATAGTAAACTTAATTTCATACTTAATATGCTAAAGATGTGTTGTTCTGTCATTTGAAGACTTGAGGAAGATGTTTCTTATCGCATATAATTCATTAAAAGCTTGTGCTATTTGTATTCTTTTTGTTGGAGATTCCTCTATGCAATGAAGACCAACTTTAAGAATTGAGACAATGCAGTCCAATTCAGGCTTGCTTACAACTCTCATGTGCCGAAGGCCTTCCCCAACTTCATCATCTTCCTCCTGTAAAATCAAATAAGGATCCACAATATCCATTGCCCTTTCAGGTAGAGAAGCCTTGACAAATAGATGAAGGGTGAGACCTTCATTGAATACTTCATCAATTGGTCTCCTTCCAGTAAACAACTCCAATAAAATTATTCCAAAGCTATACACATCTCCTTCAACAGAAATGTGGTTGGCCGCCCCATATTCTAGTTGTAATCATATGTTAGAGAAAATAATTAATACAAGGTATAAAAGTTGTTTTACCAAGTGCATGAAGATAGATACCTGGGGCTGCATATCCGATGGTTCCTTTCAATGCAATAGAGCTAGTAGAAGTTTGGGAGGATTGTTTTGTAGTATCAATAAGGAGCCTTGCTAAACCAAAGTCACTTATATGTGCAACCATGTCTTCATCAAGGAGAACATTACTTGGCTTGAGATCACAATGAACAATTGGTATAGGTCCTTGATTATGAAGATAATCGATAGCGGAAGCTACATCAATAATTATATTTATTCTTTGGATTATGGTTAATTTTTTTGGTCTATCATTGTCAAATATTGATGGTAGATGCAACCATTTATCCAAATTGCCATTTGACATGTACTCAAAAACTAAGGCTTTGAAATCATTGCCTTCATGTTAATACTCGAGCATGAAGTTAATATCCTTACAAGATTTCTATGTCGAACACTTCTCAATGCTTTGCATTCCAATTCAAAGCTTTTAGAGGCTCCTCTTTGTTGGAGATTGAGAACCTTTATAGCGATGCTTTTTTGCCAATTGTGATCCAAATTTCCAATGTAGACAGAACCAAAACTTCCTCTTCCAATTAAATTATGTGATGAGAACCCATTAGTCACTCTTCGGAGCTCAGCATAAGAAACATGTACATGATTCTGATCTTTCTCAAGTCTCTCTATCGAAGGAAATCTTTTTGACTTTCTCCTCTTCCATGTTGAAAGGATAAATAATAGAATGATACAAGTTATTGGGATGATCGTTGATACTAGCACAATTAAAGTTTGATTCTTCCTCGAGGCTTTATTATTCTGAAGGCACGGTGGTAGCTTTAATTCAACAATACCTCCACAAAGTTTATCATTTCCATACACTGAAAATGCACTTCTGTTCAAAAAAATACCAATTTGTGGAACTTCTCCTTCAAGCTGATTGTAAGAGATGTCCAAATATTTAAGGGATTCTGAGAATTTGGGTTTTTTTCCAGATAAATTGTTATAAGAAAGATTAAACAACTCAAGGCTCTTTAATGATTTAAGAGATGATGGAATGTGCCCTTGAAACAAGTTGTTGTCTATGAAAAGATATTTGAGTTGCACACATTGAGCAAGATTGCTCGGAATTTGGCCTAATAATTTGTTACTCGACAAAGCAAGAGATTCAAGATTTACTAAGAGGCCAACATCGATAGAGAGCAATCCAGTCAACAAGTTGTTTGACAAGTCAATACCATGGTATAGAGAAGTGATGCTAAAGATTTCTTTTGGTATGGTTCCCATGAACTTGTTGAATTGAAGGTGCAACTGTGTTAGTTGTTTACAACTTCCAAGGTTAGAAGGAATATTCCCACTAAAATCATTGTGATCTAAAAAAGTTTTTCTAGAATTGAAAGGTTGCCAATGTTGTATGGAATTTCACCTGAAAGTCTATTACCATGTAAATCTAATCCTTCTAATGAGTTCAACTTTTCAATCCCCACAGGAATGGTGCCCGAGAGATTATTTTTTCCTAGGCTTAACAAGTTAAGACCAATGAGATTTCCTATATCTATAGGTATGTTTTCATATATTTTGTTCCAGTCTAATCTGAAATATGACAATGTTGTTGATAGATTTATTACTGTTTGTGGTAAAATTCCTTCTAATTTATTCCAAAATAACTCTAGTTCCTTCAAATTAGTACAGTTGGTTAGTGCCGTAATGAAGGATCATTCTTTGATGTCTCTTGCTTGCAAGAAATTTCCACTGAATAATACTTTGGATAGATTTTTTAAATTCCCTATATTAATATGTATGGGTCCATCAAATAAATTTTTAGAAAGTTGAAGTAATTCTATTCTAGAAGAGTTGAACAAGAAGGATGTAATGGGCCCATGAAGCTTGTTATTTGAAAGGTGAATATATTTAAGAGAAGGAAGAGTTTTCATTGGTAAAACACCAATTAAATTATTATTTTCAATGCTCAAGTCTATAAGAGAGGTGAGGTTCCAAAGAGAATATGGGTTACATCCACTAAGCTTATTATTCCCTAGTTCTAGTACAACTAAGAAACATATATTTCATAAAGATGGTGGTATGTTTCCATACAAGTTATTCAAACTGAGAGAAAATAGCTTAAGTTTCAATAGATGTCCTAAAGAAGAGGGAATCTCTCCTGTAAGATTAATTTGACTCAAATCTAATGCAATTAGAGAGGTGAGGTTGCCAATGCATGGTAAAATACCACCTTCAAGGTTGTTGGTAGCTATTTGTAGATATAAAAGAGATGTGAGATTGCAAAAGGAAGGTGGAATTGCTCCAGAAAATTGATTATTTCTAACATCAAATATTTCTAAACTGAGAAGTTCTCTAATAAATGGAGGAATAACACCACTGAAATGATTGGTTCTCAAGGAAAGTACTTGCAAATTGACCAACTTCTCAATTCCAAAAGGAATGCCTCCATAAATTTGGTTTTTCTCCATATCTAAATATTTAAGATACACTGAAAGATTTGTGACTGGTATAGGAAGCTGGCCTGTCAATCTATTATTTCCCAATCTAAGAAATTGTAAATTACTACAGTTTGTCAAAGCAGTGAGAAAAATCCAATCTCCCTCCATATGTGCTACCAACTTGTTGTCATGAAGCAACAGCTCTTCTAAACCTTTTAAAGCTCCAAAACTAGCAGGTATTGTGCCAATAAGTTTGTTTGAACTGACATTAATGACTTTAAGCATAGTGCAAAGGCTAAGATTTGAGGGGATCTCACCATCAAGCATATTGGACTTTAAACTAATAATTTCCAAAAGAGAGCACTGGGAAAGATTCACATGCAAGTGAATTGTGGCTTATATTAAGAAACTGAAGATTAGAAAGAGAGCCAAGCTCATGTGGAATGGATCCATATATTTGAGTTTCGGAGATGTGAAGCTTCTGGAGGAAGGCGAGGTTTCCCAAAGAGGGAGATATTGAGCCAGCCAAATCAATGCCAATGAGTTCTAAGGCTGTGATGACCCTGGGTTCATTACCACTTTGATTACTGCAAGTCACACCTAGCCAATTGCAAAAGTGAAGAGAGTTATTTCCCCAAGAGGCAAGTGCTCCATCTGGATCGTATGTGATGAGGGATTTGAAAGATATGAGAGCAACAGCATCTCCTATACTATAAGTTGATGATATTGCAAGATTTCATGGGAATAAGATAATTAAAAGGAATGAAGCATATAATATGAGCCAAAATGTGAGATCCATGTGTTTCTATGTTAATTGGAGAAGTGAAGCAATAAGAGAGATTATATAAGCATATAGATGGAGAAAGGAGAATCATGGCCAAGCACAGCATATTGTAAATTGACTTAATCCTTTAACTATACTCTTTAGGCTGAGAGATTATTTTGTGCGGACACCGGATACAGCTTACCGCTCATAGGCAAATCAGGTGCCGCTACGTCATCCAATACCGAGCTTGGTACCGAGTAGTACCGAGCCGCGGTACCGAGTAGGGGGTGAAGTGACACATTTTCATTGGTATTTGGATGACGTTCGGCATCCCCGCAGAATAATTTCTCATTTAGGCTGGCCACTACATAGATGTCATATTCATGTCAGCAAAAAAAAAATTATTGCTGCCAGTAAAAAGCCTTGGGTTGACTCTATTCTTTCAAGATACCTTCAGCAAAAAAAAAAAAAAAACTGTTTTTATGTTTTTTAATTTTTTTTTTTTTAAAGAATGAAATCATGTTCTGGACGTCACAAACACCTACTCGTCAAAGTTGATGGTTGAATAGGAATAAGAGGAAGTCTCGGTGGCCGAGAAATGAAGAATGTACAAGCGGAAGTGCAGTCGACAGCAAAAAGTGCAATCCGATGAGCTGCCAAGTGTTAGGCAATTGTAGGGTCAAGAAAAGGTGAGGTTGGGATTCCCTGAAGGCTTCGAAATGTGTTCGAAGTGCTCGGACGGCGACTCCTCACCAACAGCCCGTGCCGAACTACTCTGAAAATAACTCCCAAAGCTCCCCTCTTCATTCGGTTTCACCCAGCCGAGAGCAACGAAAGCTCCTTCTTTTATCAACCGAACCACCCTAGTGATTTCTTTCCCCGTCCCACTTGGTTCTGTTGGGAAAGCCCCGAACACAAGAAGAGGAAGAAGAAGAGCTACCTCAGCTTTTCCAGGTCGCTGGTGCGTATTCCCCAGCCCGATAACTCTCCCCCTTGCCCGTCCAAATGCGATTCCTCACTACCCTTAAGGTCCCAAGCGGCGGCAGAGGAGGAGAGCACAGTAGCCTGCGGCTCGTTTCCACTTCCCTGGCGATTTCAGCGACTCGATCGTGCACGATTTTGACAGACTTCTTTAAAGAGACAAATCGCAGCCCACGCGGAGTTTCGAGCGGTTTTGTTGTCGGACTTTACTGCGCAAGGCGGCACTTTTTGTTCGCTTGAGGTAGAGCTTTGAGCCAGTAAATTTCCATTGCCTGTCCAGGATTTGCTTTTCCTCTTCTGCATTTGTTCATTGCTGTTCTGCCCCAAACTCGGAGAGAATTGGTGGAGATGGGTGTTCCTTCTGATGTGGTGGGCGTTGGGGCAAGCAAGAGATCATCTTTCATGGTGGAAGCTTCTCGCAACGAGCCCAGGGTTATAGATAGCAAGACATCCCCAACCCAAGGTTCAATTTTTACTAATCGCTTTCTAGAAAGTTGCCGTCTTGTTGGATGTTAGAATTGATTGTGTTCTTATTTATTAATTTTGATTTGGGATAATATGCTTTAGTATTCATTCTGAATGAAATCTAGATGATTGTAGAGGTCTCTGCACCGTTATAAAAATCCATTTGACAATGTTTTTTGTTTATTCTGTTACTAGCTGATCTGAAAAACAGTGTTTTGTCTCTTCATTTATTCTCTTACCAGCTGATCTTAAAAGCAGTGTTTTTTTTATAAGTTTTATTTGGTGAAAGAACATTTGCATGGTTGAATGAAAGAATTTAGCATCTTAATTTTGTACGAGGATCTAGTACACATACAAGTAAAAAAAGAGTTTCAAATGACACCAAAGTTCTCAACTTAAAAACCTGGAAAAAATCACGGAGCTTGATCCGAGTGGACTGATTCCACTAATGTTTGTCATTTGTTATAAATGGTGTCCTTCTTTGTGATTGAGGAAGGTGATATAATATAGTAGATAGAAACAATATAGGATAAATATCATGGTGGAGGTTGGAACAGCCCTATAGGGGGAATCAAAAACAAGAAGTCCAACATAAATCTTATTGCTGATGTCAGGAGTCAGAGTTAGTACTGACAATATTCATCAGTCTTATAGGTGATGATGTGCGTTGATATTTTTGGCGACGATAAGTTACTAAGTCAGCGGACCTTAGTCAGAAAACAATGGTCAGAGAATCATATTTGAGCGAAGGTGATCGAAGGACCATAGTCGAGGAATGGTGGTTGAAGGGTCTTAGCCGAGTAACAAGGCTTGGAAGTGATGATAGTCGAAGGATTGTAGTTAGGCGACAGTGTTTAATGAACCTAAGTTGGGCGATAGTGTGGGCATAGGACGGAAGTTGAGTGATAATTATTGGATGATCGAAGTGAGATGATGGTGGTCGTAGTACATAACATTGGGTGATGGTAGACAAATTATCATAGTTGGCCGATGGTGGTCAGTGGATCGTGGTCGAACGATGATCAGAATACCATGGTCAGGCTGCAATGATCGGATAACCATGGTCGGGCTGCAATGATCGGATAACCATGGTCGTGCTGCAATGATTTGATAACCATGGTCGAGGAACTTGAGTTCGATGAATGTAGTTAGGTGATAGTGTTCAAAAGATCAACTTTGGGCGCTTAGGATCATAGTTCGACAAAGATGGTTAGAGGATTACAGTTGGGTGAGGGTGTTCATAAGACTATAATCGGGTGACAATGATCGAGAGATTTTGATAGGGAGAAGGTTTTTTAAAGACTATAGTCGGACAATGGTGGTCAGGTGACTATATTCATATGGCAATGGTCAGAAAACCGATATTAGGTGATAGGGATTGAAGGATCACAGTTAGGCGATGGTGGTCGGAGATCCATAATCAAACAACAATAGTTGGAGGACCATAGTCCAGCAATGATATTCAATGAACCGAGGGTGATGGTGCTCGAAGGACCTTAGTCGATGATAATAGTCTGAGGATCATAATCGGTCAATGATGGTCAAAAGATTATAATCAAGTGATATTGGTTGGAGAACTAAGGTTGAACGCCGATTGTCAAAGGATCAAAGTTGGACAAAGCTAGTCAGAGAAT